AAACCATGCAAATTATACTTTGTTCTCAAATTGTTAATGTTCAACATCAGCATTGTGTGACTACATCTAAAGCCCTTCTAATATTTATCCTTGTTTTAGTATGGGCCGGTTGCAGTCTCTTTTTTTCTGTAACCACTCCGAAGTCTTTTGCATTTTACAATGGGTGAATCTTCAGGTGTCACTGTGATTGTCATTTGAATCTTTCTGGGGTCCGCCATCAAATTGATAAGTTTAATTATATCAAGTGCTGTGAGAAAAGGCTGTATCTCCACCTCCAACATCCTTACACGCAATATAGCTTATACTAGCCGAGATTCCTTCTTTATGTGTACAGATGTGACGTAATGATGCAAAGACATGCTCAAATTTCCCGCAGAAATCGTCTCGGGTTATGACTATAACCCTTGTTCCCTGAGAAGGGAACGAGACACTGCGTCGATAAAATCAACTCTTTGGGGACGTTTCCTAAGCGTGTGCCTCTGAAATATCAATGAAACTAATCAAATCCTGATTGGTGTTGCATCGTAACGTAACATGTGACTGCATACCCGGAAGTATAAAAGTGACGCTGTCAGAACACACACTAGCCTCTCGATGAAGCAAGACGCTCAAGGGTCTAAAGGGGCGTGGCAACACGACACAGTGTCTCATTCCCTTCTCAGGGAACAAGGGTTATAGTCATAACCCGAGACGTTCCCTATCGAGGGAACTCAACACTGCGTCGATAAAATCGACTCTTTGAGGAACGAGTGCCCACTAGGCCACGCACTGAACAGACCCGCCCCAGAGTGAAACTGATTAGGCACTCAGCTAGGGCCGAGTACGTTTGCACGGGGCGTACTGGGAAGGTTGAGACTATAAAACCTAATGAAAGTATGTGGGGTAGCCCAGCCGGCTGCCTCACAGATCTCCTGTAGAGGTACTCCCGAAAGAAGGGCCCTAGAGGAAGCCATGCCTCTAGTTGAGTGAGCCCTTAAGGCCAAAGGTGAAGGCAACCCGCGCACCTTGTAAGCCTCAGTAATAGCCTGGACTATCCAGTTACTTATAGTCTGTTTGGTCGCCGGGAGCCCCCTCTTAGGTGACCCAAAGCATACTAACAACTGATCCGATCTTCTCCAAGAAGCGGACCTTTCAAGGTATATACTCAAAGCTCTGACGGGGCAGAGCAAGTGATGCCTCTTTTCTTCCGCCGATACATGAGGTGAAGGATGGAATGCCTGAAGGACTATAGAGCGAGCCGTATTTGAAGGAACTTTAGGCACGTAATCTGGACTCGGGTGCAAAAAAGCCTTTACTCTGCCAGGGGCAAACTCCAAGCAAGCTGCCGTTACCGCCGGGGCCTGGAGATCTCCCACCCTCTTAAGAGAGGTAATCGCTAAAAGAAAGAGCCTTTTTAGTGTTAAGTCCTTAGGCGAAGCCAACTCTAAAGGTTCGAAGGGAGCCAGGGATAACCCTTCCAGAACTATTGCCAGGTCCCAGGCAGGAACCCTGGACCTGGTCGCCGGCCTCATCCTCCAAGCACCACGGAGAAACCGAATGACCAACTGGTGCCTCCCCAGAGGTCCACCATCTACTGGTGCGTGGAAAGCCGAAATGGCAGCCACGTACACCTTAAGAGTGGACGGGGAGAGACCCGCAGAGAAACGATCCTGAAGGAATTCCAGAACTGAAGCCACCGGGCAGTTCACTGGATCCAACCTTTGTTCTCTACACCAAGTGAGAAACACATTCCACTTGAGACCATATAATCTCCTGGTATATGGAGCCCTAGAGCTAAGTATGGTTTCAACCACTCCAGCTGATAAGCCAGCATTCAGGTACTGAACCCCCTCAGACGCCAGACCCACAGCTTCCACAGCTCTGGGCGCGGGTGGAAGATTTTGCCCTCCGCCTGAGACAACAGATCCCTCCTCAGAGGAATCTGCCACAGCGGAGCTATGAGGAGTGATATTATGTCTGAGAACCATACTCGTGTCGGCCATCTTGGGGCAACCAGAAGTAGACTGATGCCCTCCTGACGGACACTCTCCAGGACTCCCGGGATCAGAGCGATCGGGGGAAATACGTACAGGCGAAGCCTCGGCCAAGCCTGTACCATGGCATCCAACCCCAGTGGGGCTGGATGTGAGAGGGAGAACCAAAGTGGACAGTGGGACGTCTCTCCGGACGCAAACAGATCCACTTCCATTGGTCCGAACCTCTCCCATGTCGACTTCACCACCTCCGGATGAAGTCTCCATTCCCCGGGCTTCAGCCCCTGCCTCGACAGGATGTCTGCTCCCTGATTCTGAACCCCTGGAATATACATTGCCCTTATTGACAGTATCTTCCCCTGGGACCAAAGGATAATTTGATGCGCCAGTTTGCACAGATGGCGCAATCTGAGTCCCCCTTGTCGATTCAGGTAGGCCACCACTGGCGTATTGTCTGTCCGTATTAAGACGTGGCGACCCTTGATGTCTGGAAGGAAGCTCCTCAAAGCCCTGAACACAGTCATCATCTCCAGGCCATATATATGCCAAGTGCGATGAAGGTCCTGCCACAGACCCCTGGCAAAGCAGCCATCCATGACCGCGCCACAGCCAGTAAGGGAGGCGTCTGTCGAAACGGTTTCCTGGCGACATGTCACCCCCAACACTGGCCCTTGGGATTGGAACCAAGGTTTCTTCCATATTTGCAGAGAATGAAGGCACCTGCGCGTTAAACGGATTGCCTTTGGGGGAAAACCCCTTGGTTTTCAACCACCACTGGAGGGGCCTCATGTGAAGAAGGCCCAGAGGAATAATGGTGGATGCCGCTGCCATGAGGCCCAGCATTCTTTGAAAGTGTTTCACAGTGATGGCTTGGCCCAGCTTCACCCTGGATACCATCGCCAGAATTGACTCGATACGTGTGGGAGACATTCGTGCCTGCATTGTAGTCGAGTTCCACATGACTCCCAAAAAAGTCGTAGTCTGGGATGGTTCTAGCACACTCTTCTTCAAATTGAGTCTTAATCCCAATTTTTGAATATGTCCAAGAAAGACATCTCAATGCTGAACTGCCATCTCCCGAGACTGAGCCAGGATAAGCCAGTCGTCGAGATAATTCAATATCCGAATCACTTGAAGTCTCAGTGGAGCAAGGGCTACGTCCATACACTTGGTGAATGTGCGGGGAGAGAGTGCTAGGCCGAACGGAAGAACCCGATATTGGTACGCTTCGCCCCCGAAAGCGAACCTCAGATATCTCCTGTGACATGGAAGGATGGAGATGTGAAAATCGACGTCTTTCAGATCTATCGTGACAAACCAGTCCTCGGACCTGATTTGACTCACAATTGTTGGAATGGTCAACATTTTGAACTTGAACCTCCTCAGAGATCCAAAATTGGCCTTAACCCCCCATCCTTTTTTGGAACTATAAAGTACCGGCTGTAAAACCCGGACTCCCTGTCTACCACAAGAACACGTTCTATGGCTCCTTTCAACAGCAGAGTGCACTTCCTGTTCCAGAACCTGAGCCTGCTCTGGGACCACCGTAGTGTGCACCACCCCAGAAAACTTGGGGGGGCGGTGCGCAAACTGCAGTCAGCTCGTATTATCTGCAGGACCCATGCAGATATGTTAGGAAGATGATACCAGCCCTCTACAAAATCTACTAAGGGTACCAGCCTCTCGAGGCTGGCCTCTGGTGTCTTCAGAGTATCTTTTTCGACTACCTGAAGCTGAATACCGGCAGGCTGTAGTCGATCCGGTCCCTGCGACCATAACTGATGTTTTAAATTCGTATTCTCGCTGGAAATTGATGCAGCCCGAAACGCTGCTAACGGCGGACATGCATCTTTTCCTAGAGGGCCCCGCTGTGAGAACAACCTCGGTTGCCTCACTGCGGAGGGGGCAGCCCTCTGAAGTCCTGCCGTGGCTAGGACTTCTTTTCCGAAGCCCTCTTAGCCTGAATGACGTCCCTTAGGTCGCCCCTCTGGCCAGAGGACTTCGGTTTTTGAGAGCGTTTCCTCTGTTGCCAAGTCCCCGGAGGGGGGGCTCTGGAGAAAACGCTCTCCTTTTGCTTTGCCCTGTGGGAGGAGCTGGCTGATGGCTGGGGCTGATCGCTTTGCCCCACCCTACTCAGTTTGGCCTTCGTTTTTCGGAGGAGGTACTGCTGGAACGCCGCAGATTGTTTTTTCGACTCCTGAAACCTGTCGACGACCGAATTAACGGCGTTATTGTGTACTATAAAGGTTATAAAAGTAAGTTGACATACACTATTTATTTGAGCAGCTGTCGATGTGGCACATGCGTTCACCAAACGTAAATATTTTACATTTTTATAAGTTGGAATGCCGCTTTTTCATTGGTGCAGAGTTTCCTAGGCAGATGCAGTTTCTTCCTCGGCACTTCAACGGTTTGATCGCCGCAGCGGATCATCTGAATAACAAGGTAAGTTGAGCAAATTTAGCCAAATGACTGGTGATGTAAAGTCACGCAAAATCGCTTACTCCAGGGAGCTGAGGTTAGGTTTGCATTGTACTGTCTGTAATAGAGCTATCCTGCACACATAGGCAAGCTAAGATGGTAGCATAGTGCTAATGGGAGTGTGGTCGATCGGCGGCAGACAACAGCGGTTTAAATTAACAATAAATGAGTGCTGTAGGCCATAGTCGTGCCTACAACGTGTATTATTAATGCTTATTTCTAGCAGCACCTGCTAAAACTATCGCCACTGTAACAAAGTTTAGAATGGACGTGTATAAAAACGCAGATATGTAGGCAATATTAGTTGCATAAATGCCGTCAGTTATATTTTTAGATTGCAATGATTGAATTTCGGGATAATATTCGATCGAAACGGTAGCAATTTGAAGCAAGCCTTCAGGCAATAGAACAGGCAAATAAGGGAAAGTAAGATGGTGTTTTATGGACAGCAGACAAAACAAAGTAATCGTGTGTTTTGACAGGACTCTGCAATCAGAGATTGTGTAGCTTACTTTTGCGTTAATGTATGTTAGTCTGTTTGATTTTAGAGATTTTTTCCACGGTTGTTTTTAATGCTGCATAGTCAATTAATGACAGAATTTTGGTTGGGAAAAAAAATGAAAATTATTTATAACCCATTACTTAAACTACTTTTACCACTGGTTTTTAACCTTATTCTAACATGCATTTTCCTGGTCTTTAGATACCCAAGCACTTTTGTTACCTGGGGTCTTCAAGCTTCAGATCCAGGTAAGAAAAACTTAAGAATATACAATTACAGCTATAGCCTAACTATTCACAGGTAAGTAAAACATAAGTAAAATTGCAAACAATAGTGTAGGCTCCATACAATTACATTTCTTTTACCATTTCTTTGTACCAACCACCAATAAAAGGCAGATATAATCACCTTTCTGTCTCCTCCCCACAACCAGTAAAAATCACCAAATATAGCAGTTTCTTATTATCAGTCAGTCTTTCTCTGAGGCCCTTTGGCAAGCTGTCAGTTGCCACTAACCTTTACTCAACTTTTGTCTGTGATCATTTAAGATCCTGACATGTGATGACTAAAATTGTTATGTTGAAATTAGGTTGAAAATATGAAATATGTTTCATGAACATTCATTTCAGAAAACATAAAAAAAAGATATCATAAAAACATTCATTCTGGCTCCTCAGTGGAAGGCTTTGTTATATAAGACTTTGTGACAAAGACGTTGAAGACATCTTTTGAACATATATTTAAACTTTGTAGCTTAATACACAATAATGTGATGACCAATCAGGGACAGGCAAGGACAATTGCATTGTTTCATTGTAATGCATCCTTTGAACCAGAATACGACACCACTCATGCTACAGTGGATTATGATAGTTTAGTACCCACACTCTATGTCATTGTCATAGACTTCACTCTGGTCACATGCTCTAGTCACAGTATCCGTCTAGTATCACCACCTTTAGTAACAAAAGTACAATTTTGACTTTCTGTCTTATGTCTTCTACAGGTTTGCTATATTCCTCTCATTACCTGTTTTTCTTGATTCTTTTGTCTCCACCAATAGAATCGTGCTGAAACAGAGGTGCACGCTGAGCTTGGCAGTTGCCCACTGAAAATGTACATGTGCCATCATCCCAACACGATTGGTATTATGATAGAAGGACAGCCCGTGGTCAGAGGTGTGCCAAACCTGTCTAAATCATGCTGTCTCCTGTTTGGACTGACCTATGCTCTCGACCTCCATTGTGATACAATGTGATTTTATCTTTACATTCATCTTTATCCACATTAATGCTCACACATTACATTACATTAATAAGCTCACATTTAACTTTATCCAAACATTACAGATTGGGCAGTTTGGATGTACTGTTCAGAACAGGTTGAAAATACACTTATACAGTGTTTGTTTTATATTATACTGTACATGTGTGGCCACATTTATTTGCTGTGTAGTCACTGTTAAGTGACACTGGTTAACACTGAATAAATGTTTTGTCTTCAATCTATTTTCTCATTGTTTTCTTCCATTGCATTTGTAATAGGTTAATCACTGTAGTGCTTAGAATATAGACATTTAGATTTATTTTCTATCCAGGACTCAATTAAAATGTTAATTCACATATGATTAGGATAATTTTACTAAGAAAATAAGTTCATAAAACCTAATTAAAATGTGTGCAGGTTACTTGTAGCCATAAATACTTTACCTCTACCAGGAAAAGTAGGTTTATCTGAGTAATACTAGTATTATTAGTTAACTCAACTTGATTTTATTGCGTTCATATAAAGTAATGTTAAAATGTTCAATATACTTAAAAAAGGCTGCAAGTTGACTCAACCTAAAACATTCAATGCAGCCACTTGCCTCACTTTTTATAAGTTAGATCTAGGTATTACTTTTTACAGTGTACCCAGCTCGTATTATCTGCAGGACCCATGCAGATATGTTGGGAAGATGATACCAGCCCTCTACAAAATCTACTAAGGGTACCAGCCTCTCGAGGCTGGCCTCTGGTGTCTTCAGAGTATCTTTTTCGACTACCTGAAGCTGAATACCGGCAGGCTGTAGTCGATCCGGTCCCTGCGACCATAACTGATGTTTTAAAATCGTATTCTCGCTGGAAATTGATGCGGCCCGAAACGCTGCTAACGGCGGACATGCATCTTTTCCTAGAGGGCCCCGCTGTGAGAACAACCTCGGTTGCCTCACTGCAGAGGGGGCAGCCCTCTGAAGTCCTGCCGTGGCTAGGACTTCTTTTCCGAAGCCCTCTTAGCCTGAATGACGTCCCTTAGGTCGTCCCTCTGGCCAGAGGACTTCGGTTTTTGAGAGCGTTTCCTCTGTTGCCAAGTCCCCGGAAGGGGGGCTCTGGAGAAAACGCTCTCCTTTTGCTTTGCCCTGTGGGAGGAGCTGGCTGATGGCTGGGGCTGATCGCTTTGCCCCACCCTACTCGGTTTGGCCTTCGCTTTTCGGAGGAGGTACTGCTGGAACGCCGCAGATTGTTTTTTCGACTCCTGAAACCTGTCGACGACCGAATTAACGGCGTCGCCGAACAGGCCAGAAGGCATCCAGCAGGAAGGACCTATCTTTCGTTACACCAAATAAGACAGACAGTTTCACATGTAGCGCTTGCTGAAGCAACATGACATCATGACTTTTGCGTAAACATATACGCCACTTTCGAGTCAGGTGGCGTGTTATCTCCATGCATTTTGTGCTATCCGCGTGTATGCGTATATGTCTACGTCATTAACGTCCGCGTCATTACGCGTGTCTGAACACGCAGTCAAATCTCCAGTTATAAATGCCATTAACCCCAGTGATGGTTAAGTTTAGGGATAGGGTTGAGGTAAGGCATATCTTTTTTTTACCTAGGATGGTAATGGAACAGTCATAAATGCCATTAACCCCAGTGACGGTTAGGTTAAGGGACGGGGTTGAGGTAAGTCGTATATTTATTTAACGTTAAGTCAATGGCATTCATAAACGCGCTGAAAGGCGATTATGTGTCTTGATAGCACGCCAAAAATGGAAATACGAATTGGCGTGTCATACACGCTACTTCAAGAGATCAGTCTGGCTGAAGAGTGAAAGCTAGTGTGTGTTGTGACAGCGTCACTTTTATACTTCCGGGTATGCCGTCACATGTTACATCACGACGCAACACCAATCAGGATTGGATTAGTTTCATTCATACTTCAGAGGCGCACGCTTAGGGAGCGTCCCCAAAGAGTCGATTTTATCGACGCAGTGTTGAGTTCCCTCGATAGGGAACCACCAGCACTGGAATTAAACACATTATTACAAGCTTACCGTTTTGAATCGAGCTACGGCAAGCAGATAGTTTTGAACACTGGCTGGTTATGTACTTGCTCAAAGGTTTATTTTTGATAATTTTTAACCCAAAAAAGCAATGGACTGCAGCTTTAACTGCTATGTACTTCCATCAAAAAAATATGTATAATATAGTTATTGTGTTCATGTTTTATTGGAAAACACTTTTGGTGCTATGGAGGTGTACACAGGTAATGTTAGGGACAGGTTTGATGGTATTTAGATTTATGGCGGGTTAATGGGTAAGGGAATAACTTAGTAATTGTAGATGTAATTACAGATATTAAATACATGTTTTTACAATGTACATACATTTTTAAAAATGCATGCATGGTATTAAATTATTAATTTACAATGTTAGAACATAGTGGTTAAAGACACCTAATATAAAGTGGGACCCTAATATTATCAATATTGTGGAATATTATTACTTTTTAAAATGTTTTCTGTTTTAATACATTGTTAAATGTAATTTATTCCTGAGATTCAAAGCTGATTTTTCAGCATCATTTCTCCTGTCTTCAGTGTCACATGATCCTTCATAAATCATTACAATATGCTGATTTTCTGCTCAAGAAACACTTCTTATTGTTCTTAACATTGTTGTGTTGTGTAATATCTTTGTGAAATATATGGCATTTCTTTTCACAGACTGATCTCATGAAGTAGCGTGTGTATGACACGCCAATTTGTATTTCCATTTTTGGCGTGCTATCAAGACACATAATCGCTTTTCAGCGTGTTTATGAACGCGTTGACTTAACGTTATATAAATATATGACTTAACTCAACCCTGTCCCTAAACCTAACAGTCACTGGGGTTAATGGCATTTATGATTGTTCCCTTACCATCCTAGGAAAGAAAAACATTGCTCCCCAGATGTAGATCTACATTTTGCTTTGTTTTGGCCGGACATTTGACGGCATGTACGGACACGCGGAATGACGCGGACGTTTATGGCGTAGAACATACACGCATACAAGCGGATAGCTCAAAATGCGTTGAGATAACACGCCACTTGACTCGAAATTGGCGTGTATGTTTACGCAAAAGTCATGATGTCATGTTGCTTTTCAGGGTCCTTTGATGAACAGAAAGTTCAACATAACAACATAACAAAATGTAAATATATATATAGTGGGTAGGGTTAGGGTTGGGTCCCTGCAGCTGAAAAAACACTGCAGCATAATGAAAAACATTGTTGCCACAACCATGCTTCACTGTTGAGACTGTATTGGACAGGTGGTGAGCAGTGCCTGGTTTTCTCCTCACATACCGCTTTCGAATTAAGGCCAAAAAGTTCTATCTTGGTCTCATCAGACCAGAGGATCTTATTTATCACCATCTTGTAGTCCTTCAGGTGTTTTTTTTAGCAAACTTTGCTAAAAAAGGAACCTTAAGTGCAGCAGATTTTATTATTATTTTTTTTTTTTGTAACCTTGGACAGATCTGTGCCTTGCCACAATAGGCTTTATGCACAACTTACTTCCGCATTCTCTGTAAAACAGGTCGCATCGCTTCCGGTCCAGGTCTTTTGTATGTGCTTCATGAAATTTTTTGCGGTTTTACTCAAGATAACTTAAAAGGAGTGAACAAAGATTAGCATAACCAATATCCCTCACATGTGTAGATTGATATTTAAACGTTTTATATTTTTTATTCTTCACAGTAACGTTTAGATATTTAAATGTAATAAAACGCCAGTAACAAAGTGAACTAGGTAGGTTAGCCGATTACCTTAAATATCCATAGATATCGTAGTCAGTTCTTACGGCTGTTAACACTTTCTCTGACAAGCGGATGCGATGAGACCCGTTTTCCGGTTTGGTCACGTGACGCACGGCATAAAGCCTATTCTGTCTCTGAGCTCTTCATGCAGAGCTCGTCATGCAGTTCAAATAAGAAAATCATAACCTCATGATTCTCATTTGCTCTGACATGCACTGTGAGCTGTAAAGTCTTATATAGACAGGTGTGTGGCTTTCCTAATCAAGTCCAATCAGTATAATCAAACACAGCTGGACTCAAATGAAGGTGTAGAACCATCTCAAGGATGATCAGAAGAAATAGTCAGCACCTGAGGTAAATATACGAGTGTCACAGCAAAGGCTCTGAATACTTAGGACCATGTGATATTTCAGTTTTTCTTTTTTAATAAATGTGCAAAAATGTCAACAATTCTGTTTTTTTCTGTCAATATGGGATGCTGTGTGTACAAAAATGAGGGAAAAAACGAACTTAAATGATTTTAGCAAATGGCTGCAAAATAACAAAGAGTGAAAAATGTAAGGGGGTCTGAATACTTTCTGTACCCACTGTAAATATATGTATATATATATATATATATATATATATATATATATATATAGTTATTTTGTTTTTCCTGTGATGTTGAGTGCCACTGGGAGAGGAATAAGAGTGTGGTGTGCTCCAATGAAGCAAAAGACTGGGAATCTGTTGTCTCTGGAGATAAGGTAAGGGTCTAATAGGCCTAATCCTCTATTAATCCATACCATTGCCCAAAGTACAAATGCTGTTTGAATTCTACATACATGAAATGGTAGATACGATGACAGGGTTCTGTTTCAAACCCAAATGAGCAGCTTTCAAACCAGGCTTACGGGTAAACAAAGTGGTGCTAATTTATCTGTCGTGCTGTATGGTTCAGACACTCACTGGAAGCAGGAATCGAAATCCAATAGTGTTTTATTTAAATTTACAAACAGAAGACTTAGGGAATCACAGGAGAAATTACACAACTAAACAGCTTAACCAAGACTAATACCGGGGAGGAAACTGAGGGCTTATCATGCACAGCAAACAAAGGACTTCTTCAAATCAATCAGAGACCATCATAACAAAACAAGAAGGGAACAGAGGATGACCGAAATAATTAACAAACTAGAGGCAAAGACAAAATAGAACAGACCGGGAAAACAAAACAAAACGCATGACAGTAACTTGATTTACTTCATTTTTAAGTTGTGTGGAAGTTCTTTAGCTGTTATATAGTGTTGTTTTCCAGTAACAGTTTTTTTTTTCCAACTGATACTAGTGTGGCATCATCAAATGCAATATCACTTGTCACATTGCATTAAAATTGAGTAAACGTAAAGCTGAGTTCAGGCCTGGCCTGGAGGACCAGGGCTTTTTCCAGTGGGCCAGTTTGGATT